CGACGACAGAAGAGCCAGACGAGCCCCCGCGCCGCCACCTGCGCAGCCACGGACCGGCGAGCGAATGAAGAAGGAGATTGCTATTAATAGTCTCTACGTATGCGAAGTCTTTGTTGTTGAAATGAGTCTTTCGAATTTTACGGATTAAGGGTCCTATTTCTAGGGTCGTCCGGCCTCCAACCTAATTTCCGGTAGGCACGAATTTCCGGCATATGCCGTTTTCATCTTGCTTCTTCCTTGTGTTCCTTGTGGCACTTGCCGAGCGTGGCCTTATTATGGTGACCGTCTTCAGTGACATTCGTGTCCGGATGGGGGGGACATCCGGATAGAAAAATCGGCGCGTCGGGTTCGAACCGGCGACCTCGGGAGGCAGAAGCAGGAATATGCGAAGTCTTTGTGTAACTATGAAGATAACGGGGGGTCGGCCCCTGGTGTAGTGGTCGAGGCGTTCCACTTAAATTCGAGCTCGAACGGATAGCGGGTTCAAATCCAGCTGCGCGCATGCAAATTCAATTGGCCGACCTCCTGCCTCTGCGCGGTGTACCCAATCGGAAGAACCGCCGTGCCGTAACCCGTTCGGGATTGGCCAAGAGGGCGTCGTTACTCGCTTAGCCTCGAAGGAAAACCTCCCACAACAAATCACCATAAATACGCACCCTCACAAGCCCGCCTCTCAACGCACCGTGTAAACAAAACAGAAAAACCTGTAGGAAATAATATCTCAATAGACTCATTCCAACAACTATGAAGATAACGCATATATATATATATATTCTGTAAACGTATGCGACTTTAAAGCATATGTCCTCCCGTCGAGTGTGGAGGGACCAGTGACGAGTGAAGCGAGTCAAAACGCGCACGCAGTGTGTCTACCGATCTGGCGCGAAGCGCTGCACGGCGGAGCCGTGCCCGAGGGTGGCGCTCTTGCGCGCGCCGGACGGCGAAGCCGTGCACCAGGAGGTCATGGTACGGCATGGCATGTGTCGTGGCTCTATAAAGTGCGGCTCTCTCGAGAATGTGATCCTTGTGCACGTGTGCTACGGCGGCGGCATTGCCATCGCTGTTGCATCAACTGGCCCTGCATCGCTCTCGCTACGTGGCAGTCGCACAGCGCACTTCAAGATACTGCTCCGCCTATCCGAGGCCATCATTTTCTACGTGCGCAAACAAGACACGATCTTGCTGCACCTTTGACAATGGCTGATCTTTTCTTTGGGGCAAATGCTCGATGGTTAACAAGCATGCTATCGAAACTGTTGGTCGTCTGCTTCGCGATCTTTGCGACAGCGAGCGCGCTTTTGGTGGGCAAACTGTTGAAAGGGAACCGTATCGTTTCCAGTGTTGTATCCTGTGCATATTTCATTCGCGGAGTAATTTGCGGGTGCCCTGTGCATGGGTGGTATCCAACGGGAGTGACGGTGCCTACACTCTTC